CTGATGCCTGGGGCTCTTCTTCCCCAGAGGCAGGACTCTGCACATTCCTGTGCTGAATTTTACAGAGGTCCTCCCTGTCCCTGTCTTCAGCCCATCAAGGCCCCTGACATGGCAAAACTGTCCCCCAGTTTATTAACCCCTCTTCTCCATTTTGTACTGCCTGCAAACTCAGATTCCTTGCTCTGTTCTATAACCCAGGTCATTAACGCATTAACTGAGAGCAGGATCAGGCAGAGCACCAAGCCTCAGGGTACAACCACCAGTGACTGACCCACAGCTGGACTTGGTGTTCCCTGAAACCAGCCACTGAGCCTGTTTTCTATCCACTTCACTGTCCATTTAGCTCATCCACACTTCACCAGTTTGAATACGAGGGGATCATTGTCTGCAGGGCCAGGCGCATCAACACCAAAGGCCACTACCCTGGTCAGACACCATCTCCCCTTTATTAATCCATGCTGTGTACTCCCAAATGCCTTCATCCTTCACCCCTGGAAATGGTTTCCAGAAGGATTTACTCCATTGTCGTAAGGATCAAAGCAAAGCTGGCTACCCTACAGTTTCCCAAATCTTCACCCTTTACCTTCTTGAAGACAGTAATAGTAGTATCTACTTTCTCCTCACGCCCAGCATCCAACCATCAGTTACACTAGAAAAATTGTAAGGAGGGTCACACAGCTAACTGGGCAAGACTAAAGTATCACATCTTCCAGTTTGCTTCTCTTTCCATTATCTTCCATTATCTGGAGGAGCTTGCATTTTCCCTCCACCACAAAAACATTAGTGGGACCACAGCTTTAGACATAAACAAAACCAGTGGAAGAGGAAGCATTTTACCTGGCCTAACAAGAACATCTCCTGAAAAGCTTAACCTTGCTTTTACCTTCAGGTCACTTGTGGTATTGCTTTAGTAATAACGCTGACCAGAGTAACAGGTAGGATACTGAGGTTTTCAGCTAGTACTACTACACAAACACAGTCTTCAAGTTGGCTCAGGGTTGTGCATTCCCTTTAAAAGGGTGCCGCATACCGGTTTACTGACTGCCTTTAAATGCCAGTTTTGGCTAGATAAATAGCTTTCTTGTGATAAACAAGAACAAAGCAAGCACCGTGCATGCAGGAAGTTGTTAGTTATACTAGGAAGCTTTTTAAAACACAGAGGAAGTTTTGGTTACTGCAACATAGACTTGGGGGGGAGCAGAAAGAAAGCTTTTTCTGACCCTTCAGAGATTATTTACACTTGAAGACTAACTTAAGATTAGGCATAGTGATTATTAATAAAGCACTTTATTAATTTTAATTTAATTAACTTTATTAATGAAGCACTTTAAAGTTCCGTAATGGTGGAAGAGGAAGAGATTCTAGACAAACAGGACTTTTATTTTCCTGTCAGCTCACAGGCACACATCCTAACATACTGCAGACCTGTGACACCAGAACATCAGAGCCTTACTGGAAAGCTTTCACTTTAAGAGCACTCAGTGAGCAGGAAGAACAAATCCAACTGGTCAGCGGGCAGGGCAGCTCTGCCTGGAGGGCTGTTGCACGTGCACCCACACACAGGAGTACTGATGACATTGGAAGCTATGGAGACTGAATCAGAGGTGGCTCACAGGAAGCAGCCCGGTTCAGCTATCAAGCTTGCAGCAAATGCACATAGTACTCACTGCTCTCAAACTCCACACACCACCCAAACGTTCCCCTCTAAGTGAGAAGTGTCTGCTGGACTTCACAAGGGCACTCGAGAGGCTCTACCTTATGCCATCATCCTGCAAAGACCTCAGTGGTAACAAGCAGCCACCCTGCTCAAACACCTCCCTGAAAGCATGTACCAATGCAAGCAGAACTACTGGACTCCACAGTCACTGGCCTACAGGAGAGTCAATTAATTGGACATCAATAATAAAATACCCTGGAATGGAAGAGAAACCCTTTACTGCAAAGGAACTTTGCCTTATGTTGGGAGCTGTCTTGAAAGAAGTCAGCAGAGTGAAGCTGAAAATATTTGCACCACATTCAAATCCAAAACTACTTGAGAGAGGAGAGAGAGGGGAGAGAACAAAACAAAAAAACCACTACACACACACACACACACAGAGTCCAGAAGATACAAGCTTTTCCTGGATCACTTAGTATCTAAACACAACATTCCTGCTTGTGGATTCATCAGCATCCAAAGGGTGTTTTCTGAGGACTCCTGTGTCACAAAACACTAATGAACTTTTAAAGAGAACCCACCACAAAGAAGGGTGGTTTCTTATTATTTCCTGTTTGAGTTAGCAAGGCTTTTAGCAACCCTCATGGTCTCCTGAATCATTCCAGCAGACATTTCCACTAATGTTTTTCAATAAAGTAGGGCAAGTCCTACAGCAACATTACACAGAACCTTTTTTGTAGGAACTGAGAAAAACAGGCATAAGCTATCGGCATGCCAAATTATGACACCTGGGACAATCCAACAGGATAAAGAACTTCAGTGCTGCCTCTTCTAAAGAGAGGACAGAAAGAGAAAAATGCAGAGAAAAGGCAGCTGTCACAGGTGTAGAGTGATCACAAACAGATTTCACAAGTATTAGAGAAGTCTCTCTCCCATTCACTTTTCCAGCTCTTTCACACCTCTAAATAGCACGCAAACTCCTACAGTCAGGGCACAGGAAGGAAGATTAAGAAGTCTATGAAGTTTTTTTTTTCCTACACAAGTGTTAGATCAAACGCCCCTTGCTCCCACGTAATTTAAAACTTTCTAAAAAAGAAAACGAGTGAAGTAGAGAAGAGGTGAAAGTAGTAAAAAAAGAAAAAAGGAAAAAAGCTTTTAGTACCTTTCCACTGCCCATCAACTAGCCATCGACCATGGGCTTGGCTGCCCATCTACTAGCCAAGCAGTAGCCAAGAGACAACACTCTGTGGACACAACTACCAGCAACAGTTTTGCAGGTAGATAATGGAAGGGACAATCCAAGCCAAAAACTCAGAGGGAAGCAGATCTATTCTCCTGGGTGGGCTGCATGGGCAGGAAGCAGCAGGCTGCAGAGCAAGCCTCCAGGCTTCAGGAAAGCCTGAAGATGCAGCAGAGCATCAAACCTTGCAAGCCCATAGGGAAAGCTTCAGCAGCAGGAGCTACAACCCCTAGTAGCTTCAGCAGCACAAACTGCAACCTAGGTACTAGCTGAAAGCTCCTCTTGCTTCACTGTGAGGAAAGTTAGAAGGTGGGGAGATAGGAAGCAATCATTCACTCCTGCTGTGTCACAGGGAGCAAGAGGCAGCCTCTCTCCTGAGGGTCTCACCCTCCTGACGGGGCAGCAGCTCTTGGTCACTCTGCCCTTGCCTTTGCAGCCCATCTCCTCAGCCCTGCTCTGCACTGGGCATCTCAGCCAGGGGGAGGAGGAGGAGGAGGAGAAAGAAGCCGTTCTGAAGCCAAGTCAGAGTTACTGAAGCTGCATCACCCTGCCATGTATCAACAGGCACGCAGCAGTCGGTCACCTTATTAGTGTTTTATAATTGCCTGTTAAAGTAAATTTTAAAATCTCAATATTGCAATATTTGCAATTAGTTTCTGAAAAGAAAAAAATGATTTCTATCCCCTGTGATTACAGCACTTGACTCTGAAAACTAGCATTTAATTTTCTCCTGGTGCTTATTGTAGAACACTGCAAAAACAGGAACAGAACTAATCTTAATGAGGATAACTGCTACTCACGCTCCTATTCAAGCTCGTGACAAGTGCATAAAACACAGCTATCCACTTATATTATATAGATATATAGGCAACAATACAACTTCACTCTTCCTGGCATAAAGCAGTGTAAATGGCATTATCTGTAGCCAAAAATCGAACTTTATTTCAATATCAAAAAAACCCTCTCAGATTAAATATCATAAGAAGTTATTACTAGTTTCTAGTATCCTGCCTTCCGCAAAGTTGAAAATTGCATTTTCAATCTCTTGTTGTGATATGAAGCCTACATCTTTCCCCTCAGGAATACTACTGTTGTCTTTAGCAGGGTGAAAGCTGAACAGAAGAGAGTCACCCACCAGCTCAGTGAGGTCTTTCCTATGCTGCCCACCAAGCAGTTCTCAATTCCCTCCAGATACTTGTGTGGATACCTAATGAACACACATCTACTCATTTACCATGAGGAGCTGAACTTCTTGCTCTCTCAGAATGGTCAGCTCTCTAGATGTGAGAGCTAATGTTTAATCAAGCAACTACTAGGAAACTTTGAAAAGCCCTACAGAGGTTGAGTGCCCTTATTACACATACCTGCACACCCAGAGCTGCTGTGTCTCCCCAGAGTTTCTGCAGCGCATATTCCACAGCAAAAACACCCCCTATCCTGCAGGAGCCCTGCTCGCACCATCAGTGATGTGCTGTGGACCTTGCCTCCTGACAACGAAGAGCAACATTACAGACTTCATAGGAAAGGAAGTGTAGGAGAAACAGAGACCTTTAAAGTATATTTCCACATTAGCTTAAGCTAAAACAAATACAGGCTTCGTTTTGTCTTCCTGTGATGCCCAGTCACGTGTTCCTGCTGTCTAAGGACATCTAAAAAGAAGTTTCATTTGAAGGCAGCAACATCAAATAGTTTCAATTTACAAATTATTTCCTGCTATATTTTCCAAGAAAAAAAAGAAACCCAGTATAGAGTACCAATGCTGCCCAGAAAATACCAACTCTAACTTATGTTTGTGTATCTTAAGCCAGTATTATTATTATGATTATTCAGGACCCAACCATCTTCTAAAAAAATAAACAGAAGTTCTACTCAGTCTGTCCAATGGAGTTCTCTCCTTCTAAGAGCAAGAATCAGGGAGGGAAGGGAGAGGGCCTTTTAAAGTGGCTGCTCTGAACGCCTAAAGCATTTGCTGTTAAAGAGGTCAGAAAATCCTGCCTAAACTGTGTCAGTAAACACTGATGTCAAAAGCACTCCATTTCCTGTGCAAATTTGCTCCAAAAAGCCCCAAACATGGCCCTCTGGCAACATCTCTGATCCTGTTACCTCCCATGTTCACATGGGACAGTTGCTCTGTGTCCAAACACACAGCCACTGAGTACTGAACATCTTGGCTGGAGACAGAGGTGAACGTTTTTGGAGCTCCATTCATAAAAGTCTCACTCTTCAGAACTAAAACATTTTCTATTGGAAGCCACCAAGAGCAGATAATGACCTCCCTGTAGCCCACCTTCTTACACAGAAGGCTATTACTTCCTGCACTAATTCCTTCCGACAAGCCAGTCTTGTGCTCTGATGCATCCAGCGCCACTTCCCAGCCCATTCCTGCCCCAACTAGAAGGGGATGCCCCGCAGGGCACAGCTGAGCACAGCACAGCCATGTGCTGCCCACTGAGGCTGCCAAGGGAGCACAGACTCTCCAAGGGCAGCTGCAGACAGGCTGCAAATACCCTCCAGCCAAGGCAGACGAGGGTCAGAGGCTCTGTGGGTCACCTCACTTGGGTCTTGTTCAATCTTTGTTTACATGGTCTTCATTCACAAGCTGGTCTTACTCAGGGAATCAGCAAGTTCTGCAACCATGACTGACATTAATGCAGTAAATGAGCACAGCACACTACCACTGCAGTCAGAGCTGCTCAGTCACTGCTTCAGACAACTTAATACTTGACAGAATTGCTCAGAGCATAGGCAATGAGGCCCACAAATGGTCTTTTCTCCACAATGTTTGGGCAGACTCCGTGTTCCTACTGTTAACTGCAGCCAGTCCTCACTGAGGCAGCAGACCATGTCTGCCTCAGAAGAAAGGGAAAGTCCCAGCATCTCCCATATAGCAGGCTGCTAACCAAAACTTCCAGGAGAAGACATTCATTATGAAAGGATTTTCATTTTAAATAACTACGTACAGAAATGCTTTCTGCTGAATTCTCATTTGCAGTATTAGAAGCTTCCAGAAACACTCAGCATTTTAGCTCTCTCCTTCATACACAAAGTTCTAGTAGACTGTGCAGCGACCTTGCGAGAGTGACCTCCTGCAGTCTGAGGACCAGGCACATCTCCCAGCTTCCCTCCGATGACTAAAGGGGGCAAAGGGAAAAAGAAAATACAGCATCTCCTTATAACACTGTTCTTAAATACTCCCATTTTATGGATTTTCCTCTCTGGAAGCACTATTTCTTAAAACAGTTTTTAAAGTAGGTAAGCACAACTAGAACACTTCAAAGGGATGGAGCCATTGCCATCTACACAAACAAGAACAAGTGCATAAAATTGCATCCTCTTCTATGAAGCAGCTTATGACTTCCAGAATAAACCACTGGAGAGTGAAAATATTAAACCCACCGCATGCAATCCAAACATTTAACAATTTCATAGCCCAAATAAATGCTTCAAAGTACAGTCAATAGATCAGCTTTGGCACACGTTATTACACCATGACAATAATAAAATTATCACTTTTTTGATTTATAAAAATCAAATGGCAAGAACAACTCAACACTATCTTCGCATCCTGTTACAGGATATGGAGAAACATTAAAGTTTGTAGGACACATTTACACACGGATGGAAGTTCTCTCAAAGGAATCCAGAACCAATTTGTAAAGATGTGAGGCATAAAGCTCCAGAGCCAACGCTTTAATCAGCTCTTCTGAGGTCACACCAAAGAAATTCAGTTTTTTCCATCTAGAAAGCAGCAAGGATTCTTTGCTCTCCTCCTCTAACAGACTATTCTTTTTATAATTATGAATCTTCATGGATTTTTAAGATGTAATCACAAATGCAGACAAGAGGAGTCTGAAGTTGGCAGATTTTGATGCACAACATTATCAGAAGTTGGTAGGGGTTTTTGTTTGTTTGTTTCTGTTTTCCCAAGCAACTTTCAGCAGTAGAGGGAACCGCAGAATCACTGTGGTTAGAAGAGACCTTCAAGACCATTGGGTCCAATCAAAAACCCTTCAACACCATGCCTGCTAAATCACATCTTCAGGAGCGTCATCTACTCATGGTTTCATTTATCCCATGCAGCCCTATTTCCTAAATGGTCCTAGGTTTTCATCCTTTCTTTCCGATTTTAATAATAGCAATAAACTCACACACACACACATTCCTGTCTTCTCCATTTCATGTCTTTATGTCCATACCTCCATTGACGCTGCTGACGTTACTCGATACCACTTTCGAACACGGTCAGCCATCTCAAAGCTACGACGGTTAACATCATGCTTACTATCCCTTTTCCAGATGTTTCCTCAGGGAAGGAGGACAGTAAAAATGGATTCAAGAGGCCACAGCTATCCACTTCTGGAGAGATCTGAACTCCCTTAGAAGAGTAGTGCTGCCTTTGAAGGCCCTGAAGCACTGCAGCACCATTTAAGTAGCATACAAAGAAACCAGAGGTATGAAACATGCAGGTCAACACCATTCCACAGAAGGACCAGGTGATAGCTGCACCAATATTAAGAAGTGAAATCCTGCCTTCCTAACACCGAATTGTGCACGTCCTCCACATCCTTTCATAGAAATCCAGCTACAGTCTCCGTCCTTCATTCCCTCAGAGCACCAAGTGACTTTGAAATTTAATATAAACTGTACGCAACAAAGCGTACAAAGAGCCAATAGATCTCAGGGGGAGGGGGAAGCACACTAACATTTCAGAAACACTATCCCATCCCTTACAATGGTGCTTATTCCTCACAGAGAGGACAGATTGCCTTCCCCCCACCCCCTCAGGAATGTGGAAACATAGGATACCCTGTTAAATGGGAACACTATATTCAAATGACCTCACTGACCCAAAACATCCTGTATATAGGTAAGACCTTAAAGAAATTGAGGCACCTTAACTTTAAGTACAGTTCTTACAAGATACAATCAGACTCAGGTGAGCTATTGGAGACCAAAATAAATACTTTTGCAGACTAAGATCTTTTCTTTCTGCAAGCAGGCAAATATAATACTCAAAAAATAATTTGTCAAAACATGACACAAAGTTAACATTCTTTTAGGTTAAAAAAGAAAAAAAAAAAAAGTTATGCAAAGTTGCCAGAGTCTCCCTTCCCTGGGAGACAGAAAAATGCGATAGCTCCAGCTACAGCCTGGCAACAGCCCATTATCCTCACAGCATCAGGAGGTCAAAATACAGAGATCTCCATTTAGTAACAGCCATTCCGGGGTACTCCAGGCCCCTCAGAAGGGAGTTTTGTCCTCTCCCACACCCCAGCCCCCTCTCTGGTAACTTACATGGAAAACACAGTCAAACTAACTCCATAATTCTACACTACTATCTAAACCCTTTAACACACATTACAAACGTATATTCTCGTACCTTTCCCTACAGACAACACTTTATGCTTCAGGCCATTAGCATCAGAAGGGAGCAGGAACTCCCCAGGCAAATCACATGTTAAATTTCTGAACTATCACGGGTGCAGATCATTTTCTGACCTCTCAATAGAGGCACCTATTGTGCTGAGAGAAACAAAAGAGAAGGAGGAAAAAAATACAGAGCTCTTCGGTGTCAGCAGCACCTCTGTATGTGGCCTCATCCCTCCCCTGCCATTTGGGGGCATCCCTCTGAACTGGCGGAGGCGCCAGCATCGCGCTCACAAGCAGAGAAGGATGCCGTTGTAAAGGTACTTGAAAACAGGGAACACTTCGGGCTGTTGCCGCCATCCCCGTTTAATTAACAGGATAGTTTTCAACATCACAGGCCAGCTGAGCAGCCTCGAGCCATTTTCACAACCGCTGTCTCTGCCTCCTCTCGCTGCCCTTCCCAACTCACCCCCCCCAGCCGCGCGGCGGGACGGACACCCCGGGGCCCGCAAGCGGCGCTGGGGGCCAGGGGGCCATTCCCCGCAGGGCTCCTGCGGCGCGGGGCCGGGCGCGGGCTGGGGGCAGCAGGC